CACCGTACGAGCCGGCCGGGCCGTACCCGCCGACCACGGCGTACCCACCGACCGTCGGGTACCCCGCCGCCCGGGGCGTACCCGCCGGTGGGGGCGTGGGCCGCGCTGGGACGTCGCCTGCGCGAGCGGACCGCCGCCGCCTCCGTCGCGAGAGCCGGCTGGGCCGCCGGCGCCGCCCGCCTCTCCGGCGCCGTGGGGCGCGCGGGCCTCGCCTCAAGCGCCGGCCAGCGCCGGCTTCCTCTCCACACCACAGCAGGCCGGCGGCAGTGGTGCTGAGGACTTCGAGGGATATGGCTGCAGATGGTGTCGCGTTAGAGGCAGCGGAGGGCGAACCCGGTGACCGTGGGACGGACTGACGGGTGGAGAGCGGGGGTGGCGGCAGGAAGTAGAGACACGACGTAGTAACCGGATGATCCTTTCCGTTAAGAGAGCAGTTACAAACAGAGTTAGGGGCTATTGGCCTTATGCTGATGTTACCTGGCTACAGGTAACCACAACGCTGTGATGGTTTGCAGACGTCTGGATGCGGTGTTGCGTTACGGGGTAAAGAGGAACCGGCAGAGATGAATAAGCGGGTTGCGAGGGACACGTCGCAGGGTAATGCTGAACTCTTCATAGTCATGATCGAAGACCAGTCCGCCGGTACCTGCAGATGATGCTGGTACAGAGGACGTTGTTGTAGCTTCCGAGATCGCCAGCCGATGTCCAGATATAGTGAGATGTCCAGAGCGTATAGCAGGGAGTGCCTGCTAGTGCCTGGGTGCAGATGTTGGATGGGTCGGGTATTCGCACGATGTACCTGGATGCACGTGTACCTGGAAGGGGGGGGGAGGGGGGGCATCGACCACAGCTGCAAATAGTAAAGCGGTGTGTTCAGATTGCCAACATCGAGCGGGGGCGAGCTCTGGGGAGCAGCCACCGCTTGAGACGTTTCAAATCGGCGTAGCCTTGCAAGTGTCGTTTGTGATCTCGTGTCGACGTGATATGTGCTCGTCCGGAGCGGCATTCGTTCTTTGATTCGTTTGTTGGAGCGCAGCATTTCTGGTGCGTCGGCGGTGATACTGGTCGGCCCTCCTCGCTATGTGATTGGATCTCAGGGTTTATGGGCCGAGACGGGCGCACAGTCAACCTTCTGCTCGTGTAGTCAAGCGCCGTTGTTCCTTATGCTGCCAGATGCAGCCCCATTGTCTTAACCAAGAAATCGGCGGCACCTGGCCAAGGTTTGGCGCGTCTGCAGTTTTAGGCCTTCCTGGCAGCTGTGATTCCCTCACGGAAGGATTCCTAGTGTCACGCTTATGTTTTGTTTTGAGAAGAGGACGTATATTTTCCCCAGTTTTACGATGGCATTGCCACCACTTTTCTTCATAATAAAAAGATCGCTAGATCGCGTGCCATTGTAAAACTGCTTGCGCAGGAAGTGCCGAGGTCTGAGAGGCGGCTTTGCGCCACGTGCAGCCTCTGCTGCCCTGCTGGCGCGGCCCCGCCTCGAATGGGGACTCGGCCGCAGGTCCGAACAACCAGCATCTCCAAGGACTCCACCGGCGCATCTCCGATGCCGCCCAAGGCCAGGACGGTTGACGGCACTGTCGTACCCGGGATCACCCGTCCCATCCTGACCTCGGCGCTGGTCACGCCCGTTTCGACGTCTGCCACTTGCTACTGAGCTCCATGGCTAGGCGTTGTTGTGGCAACTGCTGAATGGCTGCAAGTATAATCCGACCACGTTGACAGAATAATGAAATTCGTATTTTATTGTAAGCGTCCCACACACAGGAATGTTAAGACTAGAGCAAGATATGTTGAGGCTAGAATGCATGCGATCGCCCGTGCGAGTTCCTTGGAACAACGTGCACCCCGCATCTAGCAGGCTATAAATCAGTCCTGTGAAACAATATGCGACACAATAAAAATCCAACAGCCTGCCTCAGACAAGCGCGTACAGAACAAGGCAACAAGCGAGTCATTGAGTATGCCGATGACATTTGAAGACAATAGCAAACACAAAATAATGAGTCACAGCAAACGGTCTCGCACCTAAACGATGCTATGAATTGAGAACGGCCGCGGCGTGGTTACAATTGGCGTACGATCTTTGTCTTCTGTCGCTTTTGTGGGGGGGGGGGGGGGGGCATAGTGTGAATTTTGGTTAAACTTAAATGTTGAAACGGTTAACCACAAAAGCTGGTCCGCTCCGATTTCCGCAAACAAAAATAAAAATTCTGTAAAAACCAGGCGGCGAGAGGCAAACTTCCTCACCGCGCGCAACGCAGTATCCCGATTTGACTCGGAAGTGCCTTGCATGTTCCAGCAAAATCTCGACCGAGGCCACGGAGAGATCGCACTGACCTAGTGTTGACAAAGTGGAGCAGGATCCACTGTGGTTAGCTTATAAAACGCAACGCAATCCAGGTAAGCTCCGCTCAGCGACCCTCTCCATAAGAGAGCACAATGGAAGGCTTGAACGCTACAATAGGCGCCCATAGAAGACAACGATGGGGCATAACGAGTCAGTGGGATCGGACAGACGCGCACCAACTTGGTGCCCATCCTGCACCAAAAACAGCACAGAGTGCGGCCCCGCCTTCACCTGTACCCGTGCCCAACACCTCGCCGCCGCGAACTCACAACGCGGCCTTCAAGAGAAGTAGTGACCTCGGTAGTCTCGATGGTACCGTATTTACCATCATCCTACACAGGAACAGCAGCGCGGCGCCTAACTGCCGCCGCGCCGACACGGCTGGTGCGCTATACACATCTACCCCTCACTGGCCTGATCTTCTCCCCATGCCCACCGCGCCCACACGTTGGACGTCTACAACCTACTCCTCAACCGCTGCCTGCCTCCGAACGAGTCAACCTCCGAGGGCCGGCGCCCACCCTCGCGCCACGCACGCACACGATTGTGCGCCGCCGACATCGCCGCCACACAAGCGCGGCCTCCGGTAACGCCGACGCCCTAGGCGCACCAGTTCCCCTCTCGCAGTGCCGGTGCGGGCCCGCCTCGGGTCGTCGCTAGAGCCGGATCTTGGTGCCGCGCGGCAGCGCCAGTCGCACCAGCGCCGCGACGGCCCCGCACCGGCACAGCCATCATCTGTGCTTGCGTCGCTTCTGCGCCAACTGCACCGAGCCGGCGTGGATGAGCACGAGGCCGAACACGACCAGCACGAGGCCCGACCACCACAGCACGCCCAGCGTCTCGCCGAACAGCAGCTGCCGGACGGGGCTGGAGTCAGCGTCACGACACAGCTGCAGCGGTCGACAAGCGGCGCTGCTGGGTGGGCGGGCGTCAGGGAAGCGGGCAACAGCTGCATGCGAAGCGGGGAAGCGGGGGGAGGGGAGCAGCCGCACGCACAGCGTCGCCACAAGCAGTGGTCGCGGGCGAAGCTGCTGCCGTGGCAGCTGGAGACAGCACAGCTTCCAAGCTCAGCGTCCCAGCAAACGCCACCTGATGACGAGCACGGTGGGACCTAACCAAAACGCAGGTAACCACATAATGTGAATTACCACAGCGTGGCCCGCACCAGCCAAGCCATACATCGCGCAAGCCAGACGTGTAATCCACAAATGATAGAAGGAGCCCACGCACACCGACCTCGTAGTACGGACAGTCAGTGCCACATCATGGAAGTTCCGCGCCTCACAGAGAATAGCTTAACAACCGACCAGTTCGGTCCGAAACACACCAGGACGAAGACGCGACTACCAGCCAGAAGTATCATACTTCGCATGCGCCTACTACAGGCTCCTAAGCGCATCTCTCACAAACAAGGCGACATAACAGCAGCGAACACGATGACGGAGAGGCCTCGTGGCAGCGGTCGGCTCACCTGGCTGATGACGGCCGTGATCAGCATGTTGGAGGCGGTGGTGATGACGATGGCTCAACGAGGAGGCCGAGGGGCGCAGCGCCTTGTGAAGGAGGTCACCGCAGAGCGTCACCAGCAGGGTCAGCAGGAACGCGAC